ATACTATAATCTGCAAAGACTCTACTAGGACTCTAAAAAGACCAAAAAGACTCAATAAAAAGGACTTATATCATGGTTAAAAATCATAAAACAATGATATATCACTAAACAACCGTTGCCCGTGAACTCGGCCGGCAGCCGGGAGAAGTTGAAGCTCCCAACAAATGTTTCATTAATCCGGAATTTGAACCCGGTCTTCTCCCAACCGGAGTCCTTCTCTGGGCTCTCCTCAATAAACCTCCGGTTTGACCTCATGGACGCATAGAAAGTCACGGGACAGCAGGCGTTGTATTTGACATAGAAAAACGCTCTCTGGTCTGAGTAGCAAAAGATAACGTTCTCCTATATGGCTTGCACGGCACATCCGACTATGGCCCGAACTAAGTTTGGGCACATCTGCGGGAAGGACAGTTGCAGGTCCGCCAGCACTTTGAGGAAGAACCGAGGGATCGGGAAAAACAGCCCGCAGTCCCGGAAATATATTGCAAAAGTGCAACAGAAGCCCGACTACACATCCGTTGGAGTCTCCGCTGACGTCAAAACCGCCAGCTCCACCCTTTCGGGGATCTCGCACTCCCGATGGAAGTCGTCGAGAGTCTTCTGGTCGTGTATTTTGGAAGGATCCGGGACTACGGCGGGCCTCCCGGAACTCTCCCCGTCGATTTTTACGATCTTCGACATCAGAAAAGAAAGAGAGGAAAAGGAGATAGAAGACGCTAAACCCAAAAAAATTGAGAAACAAAAATCAAAAGTTCTTTCGGAAAGCGAGAGAAAACTTAGCAAACGATTTCTAAGAAAGAAAGTGACGAACGGAAGTTGCAGAAAATAAAAAGAGAAAGAGAGAAGGAATTACCTTTAATCGACGAACTGATGCGGTTAAAGAAGAAGGGGGAAGGTGGACTTTATATCTAAGTAATAATTGTCCACCTCGAAGATCGCAGAGAATATGGCCACGCACCGATCTCGACCGTTCGATCTCTCGATCTCAACCGTCGAATATTTGACCTCGACGATTCGACGCGCTGCAGAAGCTCGTTGAATCGAGGCCGTTAGATTGATTTTCTCTCTCTCCGTTTGGACCTTCCACGTCACCAGACTTCAGGGTGAATCTTCTCGAGGGATGCACCTTGCCCCGAGAAGCTTGACCGCTGAAACAGAAAAGTAAATGATAATATTTACTTCGAATCCCGACCGTCCACCTGGACGAGTTAATGACAAATTTATATCAACATGCCAAGTTGCGGTTTCAAGGTCGATCGTCGACCACACGATCGACAAACTGTTCACATTTCCAAGATCTGAACCGTCGATCTCGAATGAATATCTGACTCTAGATAATTGACCTGATAGAAAAAAAAAAACAAACAGAAGTTAGAAAACCAGTCGAGCAAAACAAGACAAGCATAGCTAGTAAACGCCTAAGCCTAGCTAACAACTGCTGCCCGTGAACTCGGTCGGTAGTCAGGTGAAGTCGAAGCTCCCGACATATGTCTTGTTAACTCTGAATTTGAACCTGGTCTTCTCTCAACCAGAGTCCTTCTCCGGGCTCTCCTCGACAAACCGCCAATTGGATCTCGGGGTGCGTAGAAAGTCCCAGGACGGCAGACGTTGTATTTAACAGAAAAAATACTCTCAGGTCCGAGTATCGAAAGTTAACAGCCTCTTCTCGGGCCCGCACGGCACATCCGATGATGGCCCGAACAAGATTCAGGCACATCTGCGGGAAAGCGAGTCGCATGTCTGCAAGAACTTTGAGGACAAACCGGGGGATCGGGAAGAACAGCCCGCAATCCCAGAAGTATGTCGCGAATGCGCAACAAAAGCCTGGCTAAACGTTCACCGGAGTTTCCGCTGACGTCAAGACCGCGAGCTCCACCCCATCGAGGATGCATTCTCGACAGAAGTCGTCGAGAGCCTTATGATCGTTTATTTTGGACGGGTCCAGAACAACGGCGTTCCTCCTGGAACCTTCCCCTTCGATTTTAACAATCGCCGACATTGAAAAAAGAAAGAAGGGAGAAGAAGATGAAAGACGTTAAACCCAGAAAATCCGAGAAACAAGATTGAAGTTTTTTTGAAAGCAAACGAGAAACTTAGCAAATAATCGCCGAAAAACCACCTTTCTCAAAAATCGCGACAAACTGAAGTTGCAGAAAATAAAAGAAAGAGGACATAAGAATTTACCTTTAATCGACAAACTGATGCAGTTAAAGAAGGAGTGGAGAAGGTGGATTTTATATCTTGGTAATTATTGCTTACCTCGTAGATCGCAGAAAATCTGGCCACGCGCCAATCTCTACCGTCCGATTCTGAGATCTCAATCGTTAAATATTCGGTTCGATGAATCTGGCAAGCTGCAGAGCCCGATTAATCAAGGCCCTCGGATCATCTTTCTCTCTCTCCATATGGACCTTCCAGGTCAAAAAAAATATCCGCGCGAATACTCTCGAAGGCTGCGCCTTGCCCCGAGAAGCTCTATCGCCGAAATAAAAAAGTAAATGTAAATATTTACTTTGAATCTCAACTGTCCACCTGGACAAGATAATATCAAACTTATCACAACAGTTGACCTCACCAAGCGATCCATGGACTGTTTACCTTTCCAGGATCTGAACTGTCGATCTCGAATGATTACCTGATATCGTGACATCAGCACGACAGATACGAAATCTTTCAAAAGTCACATCTTTCCGCCCATTAAAACTCGAGCTCGCTCTTATTAATTGGCTGGGGGCAGTTGTTGGAGCTGGATTTAACACCCTAAATCCGGCCTACCCAAACCCAACAGGCAGATCCATACTAAGCACAAATTGGCTGGGTTTCATTCGTACAGCCCAGGCCCACTTCCTTGTAATGGTCCAAACTTGAACAATCAAACGATCCGTTCACGAGGTCGAGCTCCAGCTCGACGAAATCCCAAGAAACAAAGAAGAATCTGAGCCGAGTCACAGCATATTCTCGCCAGTTCAAACGAGCCCGAAATCCACAGAGGAAGCTGCTGCACGTGGCCGAGATACGCGCTAGAGGTTGAAGCTCGACAAGGCGAGCTATACAAAGAACACAAACAGCTTAGTTTAGGAGACTTTTCGGCTTGATCTTCTTCTACATTTTTTACACACAAAAACTCTATAACTGCTCTCAGAACTAATTTCATTTCATCTTTTTCAGAGAAATCCTTGTAACCATTTCATTCAACTGATTAATATCAAGTTCTTATTTCAGTTAGTGCTACCTTATACTATTAATCTGTTCGAGAGAATCTAGCAATTAATTCTCCTAAAGTTCTTTCCTTACAAAACACATAAATTTAAATTTATGAATATGAATTTCTGTATCCACAATGGCTATAAACCGGAACTAACTACAAACAACATTGTGGGACAAGTACCGGTCTAATCAAAGAGGCTATCTTTATCTCTTCAAATATACCATTTCCGGTTAAGTTCGATTTCCACCATAACATCATTCCATGAATCAATTGGACCGGGTAAGCACAAACGCAGGCAATCATTCTGAACAGTTATCTTATCCATAACTCCAGCAAAAGGATTAGGATGCCAGTACGGTCCTGGATGCCCGTCGGGACGGTGGAGAGACATCGCAGTCATGTCTAGTAGTCTCAAGTGGGAACCTAAACCAAAACCTTTACTGAAATTCTGAAACACATTAAGCTCAGCATCACGCATCACATCATTAACGGTTTTTAATTTTGCACTACTCGTGAGTGTTCCACTCTCTGTTTTCGAAATGGTCAGGGGTTGTGGTTTGGAAAAGAACCAACGGTTTGTGGTTTGAGTTTAGGACGAAGTCACGGTGAAGGGTGGGTAGGAGAAATCAATTTTTGGATGCAACTAGGTTACGACCATCACTATCAGAAACAGCTTTCTTAACATCCCCGCGAGCAACTCTAGCTGAAACAACGCTGCCATCTTCGGGATTAGCGCGCTGCTTGATTTCGTGAGAATTTATCTCTACAAAAGTCTTGAGACATGCTGATAGCGTTAAACTTGTTCAAAGCATTAGATACAAAGATACATAAGAATACGTTACTTTTGAGCAATTCAATATTGCCTGTTTTTGGCTTTTTTATTTAGATCAACAAGAACAAAGAGATAGAACTGTAACTCCTACAAAACAGGAATGAGGGGAAATGGAAGAGTTGTTCCCTAAATACAAGGGAGACTCGATCTTTTCTTATCTATAACTGATACAAATAACAACCGGACATAACATTACTTGGCTAACTTCTGATTTGACATCTTGATTTGGTTTGATTGTCCTTTAACGAGTTCTTGAACTCCATCACATCCAGATTCATCTTCCCATGTAACATTGTCAGTGAAATTCTTCGTATGTACAAGATTTTAGAGTCTACAGAAATGGTGTTTGGGTCCGGTCCGGTATGCCAAATGAATATATGTAAGCTGGTGCTTTTAAACATGAATGGCAGTAAATGAAAAGAAATGATCGAGGATGTTCATTTGGATTTTGCTCCTGTAAAAAAAAAAATATATTTTTTATTAACTAAAGGAAGAGAGTGGTTTAAATAAAAATGCGTGGGTGCATAATTTTAGTCATGATTGTTTCTCCCTTGCAGCATGAGACAAGAGTGAGTATGTACGCTGCTTGCAGTTCACGCAGGAAGATATCATGTATGTGGCCACAAAACCATGTATGGTTGCGATTATTGTCATCTGGAAATGTAAGGTGGACCAAAATAATTCGCATGATCATTAGGATATAGGCAACTAATTCATTGATTGAAAGGATATCGAGCCAGAATAATGATTCATTTTAATAATTTTCTCGGACAACGCATGCAATCTCATTTGGTGAGAAATATGATAGATTACAATTCGATTTGTTTGTGCTTGAGGACTATTAAAGCCTGTGGAGACTATCTGATCCTTTAGCTTCTGCTGCCTCTAGAGCTTATCAATATCTCACGGGGCTGCTTTTGTCAAGAAAATTAAATTCTCGTCTATGGCTGAGAATCTCACTCATAAATCCTGTACTCGTCGTGCAAACTCTGCATATGCAGATATACTCAATCTGACTTCACTAAGAAAGAAAAAGAAAAGAAAAAAACTCTCTGGATATTCAAATTATTTCCCACTTTTATTGCATCTCTCTGTTTTACCATTATATGTGGTAGATAGTGACTTGTTTCGTATAAACGAAATGGGAAAAAACTATTATTCAAATATTAAAAGACTTGTGACGCAAAGCATAAGCACCTGCGAGATGGATTCTTTATAATGGGTTCGATCTTTCCAACGGAAACTGTAATAATTATGAATTTTTTTTTTATTTAGTTTATTTTTGCCTTACCAACAAAACCCATTCTTACTCTCCACTCGTTCCATGAGCGAACAACACCTTCGAGCCAGTCTTGTCTAGCAGCACAAGTAGCAGCCTTGACCTTCTCCTTATTCTCTTCAGCTTTGAGATTCTTGGCGTGTTCCTCAAATTCTTGGTCTCGAGTAGCATCAAAATTTGCTTTCTTCCACTCCAAGGAAACCTCATCATGCTTTTTCTTTAACCAGTTTAGCTTGAAGCCCGCTTCTTCTAGCACCATCAACTCCTTGAGAGATTTGCTTAGCTCAGTCAGGGATAAGGTACATGGAGGCTTGTTCAGTGTCTCAATGAGACTTAGGAGGTCGTTCATGTATGCTGCCTTCACCAATTGGTCCTTTTCTCTCAAGTTCTTGGCAATGTCCGGGTGGTCCTGGAATAGCCTAGTCACTGAAGCCACCTGTTATCAAATATGTTAACAAGAGATCAGCAAAAGTGTGAATCAAAAACAAACAAACAAAAAGCATCCCTATAATCATACCTTGGGATAAAGAACTTGAAAACCATTGAACTCTGTCATCTCATTCCCAGTCACAACTCCTTCCTTAACAACTTCAACTACTTTTACTTCGACTTTTATGATCAGTTTATTCTTCTCCAAAAACCCTTTTTCTTGAATCTTTTCAAGATTCACATACCAACCCCGTCCTCGTAAGTGATCGCAGAACAATCGGCACACTTCTGTAAGACAAAAAAAAAACAGAAAGCTTGATTCAATACTTTTACTTCGTCAGTAAAATTTTCATCTACATGGAAGATAAGTTCTTCACCATCGCATCTGTAGAGCTCTTCGAGTGATTGATTCAACACAAGGAAGGAATAACTAGCTCGTATTTTCCATCCAAGTCGCAGTGATTCAGTATTTCCGACGTAGAGGTACATATACATGCAGTGATCATTAATACGAACTCCATCGGGAAAACGTACGGTAACGTACCTGAGAAGACAAATATTTAATTAAAACCTTTTTTTAGTTGTACATCTAACAATATCGACCTAAAAAAAGTTGTTTATTGAATCTACCGGATGAGTCCATAATCAAAACACACACATACTATATACAATAAATATTTACCATTCGCAGCCGCCGCTTAAGAAGTTTGGTGATATCACAGATTTCTTCCCGGAAAAGTTATCTATCTCCAACGTAAAACTTGTTGTATTGTTTTGATCGTCCATGTCTCTCCAAAACTTTTCTTTCCGTAGGCCCTTTTAACAGGAGCAAAAGACGACTATAAATTCCCTCACAAACTTGTATATGATGATACCTTTGCCCACAAACCGGGATATATATATATATATATACATATATATATCTAAACTAATACTCGGAAATTTATATTTGAAATCGTGAGCTAGTAGAATCTATTAGGGAATCCTATTGAAATAATTAGAGATAACTCCTAATCTATAATAATACTATTATTTTCAAAGTGATTTTAATGAATAAAGCTTTCTCATTCAATCTCACTTAACATTACCAAATTTTTAATGAAAAAAACCCCTAATTTATTCTAAAATTTTCTGGAATTTTCAAATTTACTTTTTGATATATTCCAAATTTAAACTTAAATCTATCTTTAAATATTGATTCAGTTAATAAATCAAAAAGGAATATATGTTGATCTTGATAATTATCAAATCTAAATAAAAGGAAAATAACAAAACTTTAATCGAATTTAAACAAAAGGAAAATAACTATAATGTATTTGATGACTTTGATCTATCTATTATTTTCGAAATTCGAACCGAATTATATCTATATAATATATATTCTAGATTTAAATTTAAATTTATTTGTACTAAATGTAATTTAGTTTTATCTTGCCGGTTTTTTGTTTTAGGCCAGACCTAATTTAAACCATAACAAACTGAAACCCTAGATTCAAGATAACTATAGTTTAGTCTATGTTTTTCTTTTTTTCTTTGTTTTATTTCATTACTTTCATTTCGATCCTGATTTTTTTGTCTTCTCATGTTTGTGCAGCTCACTGTATATTATTGGCAGATCATCGAATGTCAGTAGGGATAGTTTTGGCATGGTCAGCTCCTAGATCGGTGACTTCTCCATTTCTGAATTCTGATATTATTTGTCAGAATTATTCAAAAGTTCAAGTGATGATGAGATTGAAGATTAAAGTTATGTGTTACAGCAAGAAAGAGATCGATGTGCTTTGGAACTGATCTTTATGTGTTATTTATATTTGAAGAAAATGTATATACACACGCGCAAATGTAACTTCCGGGAAGATTCTCAAAATGCATAGATGAAGAATAAACGTTTGACCCGGTCCAATTTATTACAGCGTTCGGTACTGACGATAATTACCGGTATGATATATGGTTTACTTTTAAACGTGAGTAAGCAGCGCTAATGGGGGTTGCTAAAAATCAGAATCCCGGTTCAGCTAAACCAGATCCAGTAACTTCATCTTAGGTCAAATTTGACTTTTCTAAATCATCTTTTACAAGTAAGCACATATCCAATTTTCTCTATTACTTGGTCAAAGTAATAATAACACGTCCTTCCATTAAAAAAAAAATAATAATAACACGCCCAGTTGACAGTTTTCTAACAATTTATTCTTTGGCAGCTTGATTTTTTTATAAATAACTAAGTAATAATCTGCATCATGTGCGGGGTAAAATAATAATTATTTATTTAATATAGTATAATTTTAAAATCATATAACAAAATACTATTGATTTTAATATTGAAAAAATATTTTTTTTTCTTTATTTTATAAAATATAGGGTAATTTAATTATAATGTAAATTAGTTTAAAAATTAAATATATATGCGCAAACTGGATAGAAATACGAAGTCGTTCTTTATATTTTCTATAACTCATGATTGATAACATGATCTTAAAATTAAAAAAAATAAAGGGAGTATATTTTGATTAAATTATTAAGTATCTAATGTGTTATGATAATAATAATAAAAATTTACTACTTTCTCTGTTTCATGTAGATATATTTTTTTAAGGTTTTGTTTTGTTTCACAATATACTTGTTTCAATTGTTTTACTACTTCTTATGAATACTATGTAACCGATTATATTTTCAGTTTTTCATAATTAGTTGAATTGTATTTAATTTATATACTAAATGATTACTTTTTTAAAGAAAAGTTTTTTTTTAATTTTTGTGCTTTGATGCAAAACAACTTATATTTTGAAATAGTGAGTATTAAAATTGTAAAAATAAAAATTGATTATAAAATTTGATAATCAATTTTAATATTTCTTATATGAATGTAAATGCATATTAATCCGCAAAAAGCTATAGTCATAAGAATATTAACTTTTAAGAGAAAAAAATACTATGAAATTTATTTTAAATACTAAATATACATAAGGATTATATAAAATTAGATTATACTTTTTTACTATTTTTAATAAATTATGTAAAATTGTATATAACTGAGTCAATACTTATACATTCTTAACTTTTTGATACAATAAAATTATTTTTAATATCAAAAAGTTTAATAAAATTATTATATAATATCTTTACAAAAATATTTTAATTTTTTTACCATATTATTTTGTTGTATAAATTAAAAATTTATGATATTTAACTTTTTAGTCAAATAATATTTATAATATTATATTCTATTAACATATTCAACTATTTTTTATTGTTCAACTTTTTATTAATAATTTGTTCTTATTATAAAGTTTAAATATTTATATTATTTGGTTAATTTATATGGTTCTAAAATCATATGAAACCAAAAATAATTATAATAATAATATCTATTAAATTAAGTTCCTATTTTTTTATCATTTATGTATTTTTATATTGATTTATGAATCATCTATCTACACATCCTTATTTTTAATTTTAGTATTTCAAAATTTTATTTATTTATTAATCATTTGAGTAATTTATATTTTTTTATGAAATTCGAATTAATTTATAACACAGAATATATATATATACATATATATATATATATTACTATATGAATGATGTGATAATTTATTTTTCTATAAAAATAAAAGATAAAATATAGTATTTAAAGAAATAATTAATATGATATATTTTTGGTAAGAAATAGAAAAAGAGAATATCTTGATGAATCATCATCAATATAATTGATATAAAATAATGTATAACCAAATTAATGTGAATGGCATAACATGTAATTAATCTAGTAACATAAGTCTATTTTTATAACTTTCTGAAAATGATTGTGGTGATGACACATCAGCAAAATGGCACCACTGTAATATTTTATAAAATTAAGGTTATTTTTTTAAAAAATGCTTCTCTTTTAATATATAGGGGATTACGGCTGCTATACCTCCGAAGAATAAGAGTCTTCTCTGTCGGCTTTTACGTTAGGTTATATAATTAGCAACCAACTTCTTATTCGCTTTGGCAACTTCAAATACTTCCATGCAAAGTGGAAGATAAAAATTTATTACTCCACACCTTATTATCCACAAAAAAATTGACAAATCGAAGCAACGAACAAAACTGTTTTGAGAAATTTCAAGAAATGGTTCGACGCTAAAAAAGAAAGGTGATCCGAACACATTTCGACCATATTGTGGTTTTGCCGAACCACATCTCACAAAGCAACCAGCAAAACACCATTTTCACTATCTTATGCACTGGAAGCTGTAATCCCACAAAAACTGCAGTTCCTAGTCTTCAACGGATTGTGGTAATCCAACCCGGTAAACCGTACTGCGGCCGTGTCCCACTACATCCTATCAGTCCGGTTCTATACTTAGCCAAATTTTTAAACTTTTCTTTCATTTAACCATTACACAGCGGATTCAAAAGCAACTCATTCCATTCATTTAAACTTGCATAAAACCACTTAACAAGATTCGGGGTTCAACATAAATCAAAACACAAGGTTTGCTAACGATTACAACTGATCATCTAGCAACCTAATGATCAAACACCAAAGCCATAAGACCCTAAACACAAGTCTTAAATCATAAAACATCCAATCTCCGATCCATCCATGTCCATCACTGCTGCCTGCTCTTGCTCCCTTACTGTTTATTACCTGCACACTCAAGAAGAGAGGCATAAGTATTTCATAAATACTTAGTGAGTACGGTCATTCCGTAACACCTGGTCAGTACCAATCACACATTCATACTTTCGGATTCAACATCCCACACAATCAATTCGCAATAGACATAACGCATATATCAAACGTCTATGATCATCTAACCTAACCAACCAAGATCAGTCCTTTTTTAAGACCCATGTCTACTTCAGCGAGAATCCCACATCCCCTAAGCTAGTACATGATCCGGATTACCCTGAAGTTAGCTAGACATCACCTATGCCACGGTAAACACCTCACAATACCATAACACCTAATCGTTTATCAGTTCTAAACACACAACATGAAAATCACACAATCAAACATGCACAACATCAAAGCCTAGCAATCCAACGATCCTAGAAACCAACCACAGTCCCCCAGACTTAAACAACACTGTCCCCAGTGTTATTAAGCCAAGAGTTAGTCAAAAAGATGCATGAGAACTTGTAAAACCAAGGTGAAAAAGTGGTACCTCGCGAAGGGTCGGATGACGAGCGTCACCATGACTGAGACTTCAGAATCGCTTTGTTGGATGTTGTAATGTAATGCCATCATGTGTGCTCCGAAGTCAGACTGCTAGAGCACTCAAAACACACATCAAAAACATTCAAAGAGAGCACAAATCATGGTACAACAAGTTCACAAGACATCATCAAAGCAAACTGACAAACTAACTCTCTTTTTTTCTGATTTTTCTCATGTTTTTGGGTTTTTTAGCTATGTAATGGAAAACTAAACTAAGTATATGAAAAAGAAAACTTACCAGTAGGTTGCCTTTCACTAAGAGCTTGTTTAAAGTCATTAACTCGACTTTGAATGCTGCTCAAACAGCTGGTGGAAAAGAAGGTGGCATTGAATGCCTTAGAGAAGAATGTCTCCACATCCATGGTGGTTTATAAGCAGTAGATGCATGAACTCTTCCAAAGAAGTGAGGAACATCAGCAGGGTGGGTCGTGACTGTGGGTAATACACTTCGTTTTCCTGCAAAATCATCAGAAGAAACACCAAGCATTCTACGAGAATCTCGTTGCTTTCATAAGTGTGAAGCAGCTTTTGCACCTTTTAAGTTCTTATTGATGAGATTAGGAGGTTTGGAACTGGTTCCAGGAAGTGCATACATTTGCTTAGTTGCAGGTCTCTGGTTTGTGGAATGTTGAATTTTCAGTTTGGAAACATAAGATGGACTTGTAGCTGAGAGATAATGTCGCTCCTTTGTGTCCAGGTTTGGTGACGAGCGTCATTAGGTCAGTGACGACCGTCACTGACCCTGCATTTTGCAGTTTTCCTGCAGTTCAGCTCTGCAAGTCTTGCCTCCATCACAAACACGTCTTCCTCTAGCAACTTGGCATTCATTGGAACCTCTTTTTTGAGCCTAATGTCGAAGATATTATCTTCACTTCAATCCTCAAACCCAATAGCTTTTGCAGAAGTTTCAAATATTGCCTCTTCAATAGCCATCTTGTTCACCTGACCACTTGTATCAGATTCAATGACATACCCAGAAGTAGTGTCTTCTGAATGCTCCATGACATTCTTTTCATCTCTGGAAGTCCTTACAGAAAATGTCTGACCATCAATGATAGAACTCCCTCTTAACTTATCCATGTCAAATTTCATGAGAACATCACCAAGATCAAGCTCAATGTTCCCCTTTCTCACATCAATGATGGCACCAGCAGTAGCCAAAAATGATCTTCCCAGAATAAGAGGATCTTTAGGTTCTTTAGCATATTTCAGAACCACAAAATCTGTAGGAATTATGCAGCCTTCAATGTTAACAGGAACATCCTCTAAGATGCCTTCTGGGGTTCTTATAGATCGATCTGCTAGGATGAGAGAGATCCCAACTGGCTTGAAATCAGTCATTCA